GTAAGCGGATGAGGTCCATCGGCTTTGGACAGTTCTGGAGGGAGCCCACTCTACGGGTGCCGCCGCCGGGTCAATGACGATGTTGGCTTTCTAGGGTGACCAGCATGACCGCGCACAGGTGATGGCGGCCGACAGAGAGATGCCAGCGTGCAAAAGCTATATATTACTTATCCATTAATGAATCAAAGTGAAACAATGTATACTTATCCAAGATGACAATATAGTTTAACCAATCGCGTGAAGTGCAGTGCAAATCTAACGAGAAGTGGAATAAAAACCCTTCAGTGAATGGCAAAACTGCTTCATTGTCTGTCCACAATAACATATAGTGAAACCATGAAATACTGCTAAGCACTTGACAAAGTTGTGCAGCTTGTTGTAAAACTCCATTTTCATCGGGTTTGATCGGACCCCAAAAAGCGGATAAAACAACTGTTAATTAGGAAAACAAGCACACGCGGCCCGGGAAGTTGTCTGCAAAGTTGCGCCAATCCAATAAGCGCGGATTGAGGAGCGACGTCTTCCATTTGTTGTGCTCAAAGTCCAGTTCATTGGTATGGAGCTCGCCTTGTCCCAGTTGTTGTGCCCGCCGCCTCGCTTCCCCGCCCGAGAGAGCACGACCCTTGGGGAAATTGGCGGTGGGCGTCCGGACGCGTCTCGGACGGCGGACTTCCCTGACGCGACGGCGACAGCGGCGCCGGGTGTCCTCCGGTGCGAGTCTGCTCTGTCGGCTGCTGCCGGCGGGCGGTGGGCCGGGGGCGGGAGCAGTGGGAGCGGGCCGCGGCTGAACAGGTGCTGAGGAACAAGTACGGGGGAACGATTCACTTTCAGTGGGAAATATGTTGAAGTAGCGCTTAGAAGGGAGGCGGCCGCGGCTGGTGGGCGCTAAGGAACAGTTTTTGGGAACGAGCCTCTTTCAGTGGGGAATATGTTGAAATAATGTTTGGTATGAGGAAGTTGATGTGGCCACTGCCACACCTGCCACGCTATCTCCTCGACTGATGCGGGTAATCGCTCCGTCAGCTGAGTGAGAGAATCTGAATGTTGCTGGAATCGCTGTTGACACGCCTCATGGACTGCAGAATCACCTAAATCACCCACGTGGCTGTGGACATTGCAGATATTCTCTTCCATGGGTGTTAAGGCTACGGTTACAGACATGTCACCGCCAATCGATGTGACCACCAGGTGAAAAATGGCAGTGGCTAGCAGGCCAAAGGCCTTTGAATTTAAACTCGTTGGCCAATACTAGCGTTGTGTCACTTGGCAGCAGTTTCCAGGTCATCTATTGACCAATATTATGACCGAATTTGCTAACGTGTGACCAAGAAAATACGTTGCTATTTTGCTTTAAATGTTTGGTATTACAACGCTGCACGCAACGCTAACACGAGTTATTTTTTGCTATCCTGTTAACGACAGTTGAATCGGCAATCAGAACAAGTGCTGGCCCAGTTTTGCTCGTGCACGTACACCGAACAAAGCGTCTGTTGATCCGTGTCCTGCGACCTCACACGTGCAGTACAGTGTGCGCAGTCAGTACAGGCGGGGGCGGGTGTGGAACGGCGCCCCAGCTCTCCGGGTCACGTCGTCATTGGGGCTTTACGACGCACTTGGCTGTTGAGCTTACAGGGCATCGCCCGCCGCTTACCCTGGCAGAAAGGGCGGGCACCGCGGAGGATCGAACCTCGTACCCCTGGTTTCCCAGAAGACGCGCCGTGGTTAACGCATGCGTGTTAGCCACTACATTATCGGCACTCTGAGGCGCATCGCGCTGGTAGTGACAACTGGCTGGCTACCGCGAGCTGGCTGCTGGTCCAGGTCGGATTCCACCTTAATTGCCCTCCGCACCGGCTAGGTGCTGTGGGCTGGAGCGGTACCCACAGCAGTGCGGCACTCCGGCCACAACCCGGGCTGGCCAGGCCGCTGAGCCTCTGCTGACTCGGTGGTGGCGTCTGAGAACCTTCGGCCGCGGCGGCGTCTGATGACCTTTGGCCGCGGTATCTGACGACCTTAGGCCGCGGCATCTGATGACCTTCGGCCGCGGCGGCGTCTGATGACCTCAGGCCGCGGCATCTATGGATCTGAAGGTTCTGCTGGTGGGGCATACCGAAGATGGATCTGATGGGTTTGCTGACGGCTTATACTGGGCCTGAATCTGACGGTTTTGCTGACGGGACTTACTGGAACTGGACCTGACAGGTGCCGCGCGTACATATTCATGCTGAGTGAAATTGTCCCGGCGGCTGGCGCTAGAACCTGAGAGTGGTATTCATCTGCTCCAGGATGCTGTATGTTCACGTATTCTTGACTGTTGTTGTTATTGGGGATTTATGACACACTAAGCTGCTGAGGTTATGTGCGTCGGCTGCCTTTCACCGTGGCAGGAATTATGGCATTCTCGACTGTATAAACATGCGCCGGGATGAGACACAATTCATCAGCACAAACCGCAATAAAAATGTCTTATTAAAACCGTCAAATGCGCAATGCTTGCAGCCATTGCGTCGGCCGAGGACGCATCTCCAGGCGAGTTTTCTGTAGTCGCCGAGTGCACAACTTCGGGCGTAAGCCTGCCGGATCGAGACAGCATGCCAGTCCCCACTAAATCCGTCTCAACTGTGGCTCCAGAGCGGCGTGTTCCTCTGATGGCAACTTCGGTCCAAGGCTCCCATGATCCTCAGTTCCAAGATCTCGACCCATGCTCGCCTACGGTATTCCTAGAGCTGTCCATAAAAACTGACGGTTGCTAACAGACGCGGAGTGAAGTCAACTGCAAAGTCTGGTGTCCCTGAGTTCGTCTGTCTGATGGTCTAACTGTCCGCCAACATGGATTTTGCCGATGCCGACTTATTTTGGGATTAAGGACAGTTTGCGGAAATGGCCAGACTTCGCCAAACATATAGACATTATAGTGCTGGCTTGTCTTCTTGTCTTCTTGTTGTCTTCTTTTTTCCTGTCTTCTTCTTTCTTGGACTTGTCTTTTATTTTCAGCTTCTACCAAAAAATGGGTGGACATCTTTCAGTCAAGCGCGCTCATTGCATATGGGCAGACATTGACCGAAATCAATGCGCAACGCCGCAAATGAACCCATGCTAACCGGGATGTCACTGGGATGTCCTCCCACACACTGCTGACGTTTTCGCCTATGGCTCTATTTTCGTAGTCAATCAGCAGATCATGCTGATTCGAATGACGATCACTAGCCAAACATTGTTTATTTGAGGCAAAACACACGATCCTAGCGATTTTCCTGTTCATGCATTGTATTTACCCGTCAGTTAACGCTGACATTATGCGCTCGGTCGGAGAGAGTTTATCTCACTGATTCGGATAGAGCACATTTTTGCATCAAATGTCGCCATTTCATGACTTTGAACATATATTGTAAGCGGAAAACTGAGCAGCGCACAGGTGATATACGTTTGTAGAGTGCGTGTTCGTAAAAGCTAAGAAAGAGCTCGTCTGAAACAAGGACTATACAGCATGGACATGCATGCCTATAAGCTGGCATAGTAAACCTGCGCCGCCCATGCCTAACTAAAAAATGTCCGGCATGCCATTGAGGAAATATTGATGAATGGAGGATGCCTTGATCCCAGTTACACTGGCATTGACCCGCTACTGCTTTTTGATTTGATGGTATCTCGCAGTGTTAAATAACAAAACAGACTGAGCACGCCACCTATCAAAACAGACTGAGCGCGCCACCTATCCAACTTATGACGTGGGTGCGGTTCGGCCCAAGATTGTTTAAAATTACGCAAACTGCTAAGTGTGTTTGCGAGAAACATTATTCACATATATGACAATAGTACTTGCCTAATTCCCCAGGGAAAGACCAGGAAGATGGAGTTACAAATGCGTGGATATTTCAGCAAGATGCCTTTATCGAAACAGAAAAATTCTGCTATTGTTTCGATAATGGCAAGCTGCCGAAACATCATCGCATTTGTGTCTCGATTCTCCTGTTTTTTTTTTCTCGAGGATCAATGCTATTACTACTGTCTTATCTAGCATTGTTTAAATTTGAGTCGTTAGCACGCGTCACATACGGCGTTCATTTTAAGGTGCTGGAAGGGCGCGTTGAGTTTTCTCTTCACTACGGTGCTCCGCGTCAGCTCCTACGACGAAGGTGCGGTCATCCAAGAAAGCCAGTGCAAGCTCAGTGCTTATAAGAGCGCGTCACCAGCCTCACCGCCTGGGTCCAAAAGCTGGAGGGCGGCCTTACATATCATTAAAGATAATAGGTTGGATGTGGGTAACAATCTCCACGTGATAAGAGCGAACTGGTAGATCTTGCCACCTCTTGTGATTTCACTGAACGTCTCAGACGAGGCGTCAGTTCAGATAGATGAACGGTCGCGCTATCTTCATCGGCAATGGAGTTAATTCGGAAGCTTTTTGGTGTCTCGCGAAACGGGGCCGCCTGGGCTATTCAAAGCCATATTCCTTTCAGGTATGTTTGAATCTAATGGCGAGATCGAAAATAAGATTCGTATCGCGATCCATACTTGGAGTCATTCTCACCCAGTAGCCTTTGTTGACATCTGCTGTAGCCTTTGTTGACATCTGCTGTAACCTTTGTTTGTCTAATAGGGTAGCAAATGCCTCGTTATCGCCGGTCATGCAAATTGCTTTAAAAAACGCCCAGATCTTCGAGCTTATTCAGAGCCCATATCATAAAGCAACGTATCATGGTCGTTTCACAATTTAACTGTCACTAAAAGAGACAGCATACTCTTGAGACTCAGAGTCGGTCATTATGTAAAACATGATTGAAGGTCAAACCGGGCCAAGTCAAAGTCAGGTGAACTTATTGGATATGATTTGTCTGTTCTTCCGGTTCATATGAATTATGGAGATCAGTTATGTGAAACTCTGCTGCTATACGGACTAGTTTATCACAAATACGCGTCGCAAATCTGGCTCGTGTACACTTACGAATTGAGCTCTCTTCAATTTGTTGGTGAATTGATGTAAAATGAAGATCAAACAA